CGAGCCCTCAACGAATACAAACCCTAATGGAAGCAACCAAACAAGAGCCAAAGGATATGGTGATCAACTCTCCTCCAAGCCTCTTTAGGAGGAAAAAGTGGACCAAGTTGGATAAAAATCTTGCTTTGGTCTTTCTAATTTTGCATCTTCTTTGCGTTTTCGCACCGTTTTGTTTTACTTGGGGTCGTTTCTTTCTTGCTATACTATTAGCCAATCTAACAGGTATAGGAATTAGTGTTTCGTATCATAGAAATCTCGCACATCGAAGCTTCAAACTCCCTAAATGGCTCGAGTATTCACTTGCTTATTGTGGAGCTCATGCACTCCAGGTTTGATTTGATTGAATCCTTATTACGACTAAAGTTGAATTTCTCTCGAAAATTTTAAATATCTATTATGTTTTTGAATTTCAGGGCGACCCGATTGATTGGGTGAGTACACACAGATGTCATCATCGATATGTTGATTCGGAACGAGACCCACATAGTCCTATTTACGGATTTTGGTTTAGTCAAATCATGTGGCTTTTTGATTCGTATAATTTGACCAAAAAAGTGTGTCCAAACTATAATACTTCTCAAAAGATTGAAAGAGGCAAGTTTATGTCGTTCATGAAGCATGGATATCCAGACAATGTCAATGACTTGTTGAATCAATCCTTCTATAAGTTCATGCATAGAACATATTTTCTTCATCCACTAGCTCTCATGGCATTGTTGTATGCTATTGGAGGAGCTCCTTTTATCATATGGGGAATGGTAAATTACTCTCTTTTTTACCTCTTTTTGGAACCCTTTTTACCGAATATTGTACTAACAAAAATCGTTTATGTTTTTTTTAACTATTCGTAGTCGGTGAGGTTCGTATTGAGCTTGCACATAACATCTATGGTAAACTCAGTATGCCATATCTGGGGAAAGCAACCATGGAACACGGGAGACATGTCGAGGAACAATTGGTAAGATACTTCTCTCCTTAGAGCTGCTCGTTAAACTACCGAGCAGAAATGTTTGTTTCAATAGGGAATGAAGAAGGGAGTGGAGAGAGATTTCTTCTCGGTTATCTAAACGGGACAGAGGACGGAAATTATCCCCTACTCTCAAATTCTCGACCCACCTCACTAGAAGGGAGTGGAGAGAGATTTCTTCTCGGTTATCTAAACAGGGCTGAGGATGAAAATTATCCCCTACTCTCAAATTTTCGACCCACCTCATTAGAAGGGAGTGAAGAGAGATTTCTTCTTGGTTATCTAAACAGGGATGAGGACGGGAACTATCCCCTACACTCAAATTCGTGACCCACCTCATTAGAAGAGAGTGGAGAGAGATTAACTCTCGGTTATCTAAACAGAGCTGAGGACGAGATGTATCCCCTACTCTCAAATTCTCGACCCACCTAACTAGAAGGGAGTGGAGAGAGATTTCTTCTCGACTATCTAAACGGGGCTGAGGACGGGAACTATCCCCTACTCTCAAATTCCCAACCCACCTGACTAGAAGGGAGTGGAGAGAGATTTCTTCTCGGTTATCTCAACAGGGCCGATGACAAGAGTTATCCCCTACCCTGAAATTCCCGACCCACCTCACATATTGATTATTTGATATGTTTTTATAGGTTGGTGGCTTTATTTACGTTTGGAGAAGGATGGCATAACAATCACCATGCATTTGAGTACTCAGCAAGGCATGGTCATGAATGGTGGCAGATTGATTTTGGTTGGTATATTATTAAGCTTCTTCAAGTCATTGGATTGGCTACTCATGTCAAATTGCCTTCTCAAAACTACAAGCAAAAGTTGGCTGCTGATTAAGATTACAATGATCCTTAAAGATTTGAGAATGTTTAATGAAGATTTAAATATGATTGTTGTTTGAAACATCGTGTAATCCAATCATATATTAAAGTACGATCTTATTATAGTATCGTTTAATGTATGTACGACCGTATTGTTCTATCTTAAAACGATAATAGTTAATATAGTACGATGTAATGTTTCGTATGTACATGAATAGTTTGAATCTGATCGACTATAAATTTAAAAAATGTAACCTGTTTTAGTTCAAATGGGATATGATTGTGTGATGCTACATCGGTTAGAGAGGGAAACGAAACATTTCTTATAAGGATATGGAAACCTCTCCCTAGTAGACACGTTTTAAAACCGTGAGTATGACGACGATACGTAACGGGCTAAAACGGACGAAATCTACTAGTAATGAGCTTGAATTGTTACAAATGGTATCAGAGTCAGTCACCTGATGGTGCAAGACACTGGTTGGAGTAGTTAGGGCAAGACCCTCTTCATAGTAGACATGTTTTAAAATTGTGAGATGACGACGATATATAACAGGTTAAAACGACACATTACATGGATGGAAACTGTTACTACTATGTTTCAAAAATACACTTTTAATTTTTAATATTATTTACACGAGAATTTATTGTTACAATTTTAAATTTTTTTTTTTTTTTTTGTTAAATATTAAATTGGAAGACAATTTTGTATTATTTTTTAAATTTGCAATTACAAATTCTATTTTGCTACTACAACTTTTCAAATATTCAAAAAACCCATTCTTCCATCAAATATTCTGCTTTTTCTCGGGTACTCGATTTTAAATATCCATTAACTTGTTGTTTGCTTACTAACTTCATATAATTCAGAATTGGCGAAATGAAAAAGTGAAACCAAGTCAGATTGCAAAGGCATAATGATAGTAGGGTCGGGATATCCCCGCCCTCCGAACGAAACGTGAAAATCTCCCTTCATCCGGCTGCTCTTGCTGAAATCATTCCTCTAAATTCTCCCGTGCTCTTTATTCTTGAAATTCAATTTAACCTATAATTTTTTTTTAAAATTTCAAATGCTTTTTTGTGCCATTTTCAAAAATATTATTTTTAAGTCAATTAAAATATGAGGTTGTGGAAAATTCTTGTAATATTCAAATCATAATTATTAATAACATGAATTATTGAGAACCACTAGCATACATTTTCCATATAATTTTCTAGAAATTCATTAAAGTGACGGTGGACACTTTTTTTTTAAAAAGAAAAATAAGAAGAGAAAGACATTTTTCCTTCTCCCCGTTAATCCCAGGTTGGCTGGGGAGGAGACCGAACACCCTCGTATGGAAACCTTTTTCTAACAAATGTGTTTAAAGAGGACAATATTTGGTAGCAGTGGACTTGAACCGTTACAATAATAATAATAATGTCGATTAAAACTACATTTTTTCAACATCTTACGATGCATGTGAGTTAGGACAAATTATGTTGGAAAGACTCGTGTTGATCTGTGAGGGAGGAGTAGTTAATGTGACCGATGGTCGACTTTCTGGCACTATATCCTACCACCTCAGATATCACACCCACATTTTAATACTCGTTTAACGATCTCGAGACACATGTTGTAATGTCTCAAGAACATTTTTAGGTCCGTGGGGAGTTTCGTTAGTCAAGAAAGAAGAATTCAATAGAAAAAAGGGTCACTTTCTTTCTTTTGGTTTGACTTTTTCAAATCTATTGATGGTGGTGGTTGGTCAATATGTGTGTCCTTTGAAAAATTATTAGAATTTCAAATGATTGTTTATGTTTCTATGTTTGACACTTCACCTCATCATTACCATTTGTTTAGATAAATTTTCATTTTTTTTCTTTTAAGTTTGGTAAATTATGATTTTGCATGAGGTGACGGGTGACGGGTGACTTTTCTTTCACACTCTCTCGTTCTGTTGTCTCCAGCTTTGTTTTTGCTTGCCGTAGGGCGAGATCCCACATCAGTTGAAGAGGAGAACGTGGTGTAGAAACCTTTCCATAATAGACGTGTTTTAAAACCATGAGACTGACGACGATACATAACAAGCCAAAGTAGATAATATCTACTAACGATGAGCTTGTGCTAATAGTATCAGAGTCAGACATTGGAACCCCAAGAGAGGTGGGTTGTGTGTGAAATCTCACTTCGGTTGCAGAGGGGAACAAATAATTTTTTATAAAGGTATGAAAACCTCTCTCTAATAAACGTGTTTTAAAGTTGTAAAGCTTATGGCAATAAGTAACGGGGAAAAGTGGACAATATCTACTAGTCCTCCCACTCTCGTCCTCCCACATCGATTGGAGAGGAGAATGAAGCATTCCTTATAAGGGTGTGAAAACCTCTCCATACATGAGATTGACGATGATACGTAACGGTTCAAAGCTGATAATATCTACAGTGGGCTTAGGTTGTTACAAATAGTATCAGAGCCAGACGTTGAGCCCACAAGGGGATGGGTTGTCAGATCCCAAATTGGTCGGAGAGGAGAACGAACCATTTCTTATAAGAATGTGAAAACCTCTCCATAGTAGACGCATTTTAAAATGATGAGACTGATGACGATATGTAACGGATCAAAGTAGATAATATCTACTAACAATGGGCTTGGGCTGTTCCAAATAGTATTAGAGCCAAAAGTTGAGTCCCGAAGGGTGGGTTGTGAGATCTCACATCGGTTGGGAGTCCCGAAGGGGGTGGATTGTGAGATCTCACATCGGTTGGAGAGGGGAACAAAGCATTTTTATAATTTCTCTTTAATAGACACATTTTAAAACCATGAAACTGACGACAATAAGTAACGAGCAAAAGTAAACAATATCTATTAGTAGTGGGTTTGAGCTATTATACGTACCTTCCTCTATCTCTCTCTATCGTACTAATGGAAAAGGTCAAATTGTCAAATTTGACCCACGTATTCTGAACTATGTAATATATTTATTATATTTTTCACTCGTGTAATTCGAAAGTAAAAACTTATATTATTCTAATTTGACCCACATTACTGAATTGTGTAATAAGTTCGACTATTATTTTTTATATTTTTCACTCGTATAATTTTTAGAACAAATATATATATATATATATATATATATATTAATAATAATAAGAATAATAATAATAATTTACAACCGCAAAATCAAATTAATCCAACATTATCAAATAAAGGTTTTCTTTTTTTTTTTTTTGGATCAACATTTCAAAATTCATCGGTTCTTCCGATTGAATCCTTCATCTTCCGATTGCAAAAGCTCTTCCAAAACCTCATTATCCAAATACTCCAACTCAATCACTTCGTTGGATCCATGGCTCCCATTGCTGCCGGAGTAATTTCCAGAAAACGCCGTCGAAGAAGACGGCGCCGCCGTAGAACCACCAAACGCCGCCTCAGAATTAGGGTTCCCACTTTGGTACTCATTCGGGAAATTGAGAATCGCTAAATGCCCTCTGAACGCATACGCCGCTTGATCGTACGCCCTCGCTGCTTCCTCCGCCGTGTCGAACGTTCCTAGCCAGAGCCGAGCGCCATTCCTCGACGGATCTCGAATCTCCGCCGCAAATTTCCCCCATGGCCGCCGCCGTATCCCTCGGTAACGAGCTTCGTTTGGCGATTTCTTTCGTTCGTTTGTGGATCTTTTTCCTTCCATTTTTTGCTTATCTGGGTTCTAATTATTAGAGTGTGAAACAGAGCAGATTTTGATTTCAAAAATGGAGGCAAAATTAGTAGAAATCTGTGGGATTTATATTGGAATAATATATTGTAGAAATCAAGTCAGCCATGTTTGAATGTTGAAATTGTCGTATTTTGGGAGGGAAGTTTCTGGGAAGATCAATTCATTGATTCCTTTTAACTTTAGTGCATTCATTTTCAGCCGTCACGAATGAACGATAAGTACTTGTTTTTGCCTCCTATTTCAATTATACTCATCAGTTGTAGGGTGGAGATAGATACCTCAGGTGAGATCCTACATCAGTTATAGACGAGAGCGAATCGTTTTTACAAGGGTGTGGAAACCTTTCCCTAATAGACGTTCTAAAATAGTGAAACTGATGGCTACACGTAATGGGCCAAAGTGGTAGGTCTTGGTTGTTACAAATGGTATTAGAGCTGGACAATGAGCCGAAAACACTAGGTCCCCAATGGGATGGATTGTGAGATCTCATATTCATTAGAGAAGAGAACGAAGTGTTTCTTATAAGGGTGTGGAAACTTCTCCTTGGTTGACATGTTTTAAAATCGTGAAGCTGGCGGCGATACGTAATGGGCTCTGTTATACAAGGAGTATAATCTCTATCCCCAATTCCGTTCCGCTAACGAGAAAAAAAAGGAAAAATTTTCATCCTATTTAAAATGGGTCTCGAGTCGTGTTGTTTTAAATTTTGATATACTAAACGGAAGATCGAACCATTTTTTTTTGTGTTTTATCCAAATTGTCACACACTCTCTACTCCTCTCTTTTCAAGGGTTGGGAATAGAGCTTTGACTTGTTGTGGTTAAAGTGTTGAATTGAATGATTTTGAATGGGTAGGTCTCGGTTATAAACACAAACTCGTGAACTGATTTTAGATAACTGTGCTCGAGTCACCAACAAGGTCCGATGATATCCTAATACTTGGATTGACATTCTAAGGACAGCCAGAACTCATCTCAAGTAACGTCTCGAACTAATGTAGAAGCAAAATGGTCGTGCAATTGAGAACCAAAATGGTGATAAATGATGCTGCAAGGAGTTCAAGAGGTATTGACCTAGCGTCGAGATAAAGTTCAATCAGAGGGCTTGACATTCAAGTGAGCACAGGGACTAGAGTTACAATTTAGTTAAACGGTACGTGGAGACTTGGTGCATTATTGAACGATTCAAGTTGTATGCGTAGATGTTCGAGTCAATGATTAGAGAACCTGTCAAATTAAAAAAATAAAAAATAAAATTAGAATTTATAAAAATGTTATTTTGAAAAGGGTAGGTGAGAAAATTTTCGTGATCTAAATGAGCCAAGCCCAATAGTGTAGGCTTTAGGTATAGAAGGCTCCTATATTGAAGAGCCCATAATTGGGCATGTGCCTGAGATAAGTCGGACATTCCCGACCCACCAAATGAAACCGGTAGTTTCTTGGTCACGACCAGATAAAGCTAAAGTTTCATTAAAGAGCATTTCCACGGGGTAGAACCTCCTCAGAGAATATAAGGTTTTCATGAGGCTTATCTTGAGCCGTCATCCAAGCACGAATACCTTCGTTTATGTAAGAACCCAGATCCACCGCTAGCAGATATTGTTCTCTTTGGGCTTCCCCTCGAGGCTTTAAAATGCATCTGCTAGCGGAAGGTTGCCACACCCTTATAAAAGGTGATTTATTCTCCTCCCAACCAATGTGAGACATCACAATCCACCCCCCTTCGGGGCCCAGCGTCCTCGCTGGCACTCATTCCTTTATCCAATCAACCAATGTGGGACATCACAATCTCCCCCCCTTCGGGGCCCAGCGTCCTTACTAGCACACCGCCTCGTGTCTACCCCCCTTCAGGGAACAGCGAGAAGGTCGGCACATCGTCCGGTGATTGGCTCTAATACCATTTGTAACGACCCAGATCCACTATTAGCAGATATTATCCTCTTTGGGCTTTCCCTTTCGGGCTTCCCCTCAAGGCTTTATAACGCGTCTGCTAGGGGAAGGTTTCCACACCTTTATAAAGGGTGATTTGTTCTCCTCCCCAACCAATGTGGAACATCACAGTTTAAGATAATATTTTTGGTATAGAAAGTCTCAAATTCAAGATCTTCCACCGCACGAATTTTCTGAGAAACGAAGTCATAGACTCGTGAAAACATTGAAGCTATCTGATGTCGTATCCAAATTCTAAATCTTGGACATCATACCTTACCGTTCAACTCTTAAGGCACCATGCCCTCGAGGTCAAATGCTCAAATTTCCACGTCAGATCCCGAGAAAATTATAAAATAAAAAATAATAATAATAATAATATAAGAGAGAGAAGAAAGAAGCATGCAAAGCTTAAAGTTGAATGCATGCGAATTGACCAATTATTGGATGACCTTTGATTTTTCTTGATGACGTCATTTTCCACTTCGAATTATTTTGAATATTGGAATTAATTGATTTTGCAAGTGGGAAAAAAAATTAATTATTAGCTTCCAAATTTTAAAATTATACACTTTTGACTAAATATTTTTTATACTATCAACTTGTTATTATATTTTACGCCAAATATTTACTCCAATTATTATTTAATAAATAAAAAAATTCAAGATAATAACAATTATTGTCAACTATCTTTTTATTATTATTATTAAGTTATTTTTCCTTTTGTCTTTTCTTTTTTTTATTTTTTAATTTCCTCCTAATTTTGGTTCCATGAACCATCCCAAAGGAACCAAACATTTATTTTTCACATGCCCTAATTATAAATAAATTAATAAATTATTAAAACTATATATTTAATTTTTTTTATTTCACTTATTATAAAGTTAAGCAGCCACATACAGATTTTGTAAATTTACCGTACCATCGTAAAAATGTTAATCTAACGTTAAGGTTAAAATTTAAAAATATATTTAATCTAATAAAAAAATAAGTGCATCATTATATTTAAAATATAATTTTTTTTAAAAAAATTTAAGAATTTGTGGTATAGGATTTGAAGTGAACGTTCATGGCGGCAGCAAACCATGGGAAATATTGAGCCGCCCATGGGATTTATTCACGTTGGTTTTAAAACTTCTTTACGATTATTTATTTGTGGTCGGATCGTGCGTTGAGATATCTATGGAGTGAGGTGAAAACGGTGCTCGTTTTTAAATAAAGATCTTTAATCATGTAACACCCGAGTAAATAAGAGATACATGAATGAACTGTGACCACATTCAAATGAGTATGATCCTGAAGATATGAAATTATGATTAAAAAATGTTTAAATAATTTATAGTTATTACCGAGATCAATAAGGTACACATTCCTTTTCGATAACTCAATTATAGGTAACGTTATCTTGTCACAGGAAAATATTAGAGCTATCGTGTTTATATTATTAATATGAATATAACTCAGGTTAAATACCAGACTTGGCAATATGGTCGAGATTTTAATGTTGAGTTAGAGATGGATTATATAAAAGTTATTTAGTATAATAAGAAGTTGTAAATGACGTATTTGTCCTTTATCGAATTTTAGAATTCAAAACTTGTTGTGTAAAGCGGTGGAGAACGTCGATGTTGTAACTGTACAAGTTTGAGAACGAGGAGTCAATTGAAATTAATTGAACTGAGAGTGATGTCGAGAGGAAACTTAAGCTCGATTTATGTGATATCACGACAACTATAGGTTAAGGAGGTGCAATCGACTACAGAGAAGTGATCAGATGCATAATCAACAACCGAGAAGTGAGGCTGTAACGAATTAAAGTGAGTGAACAATCATGAGAGAAAGATGGGAAGGCAAAGTTTGTTCGCAACTGCCTATAGTCGAACCTAACGAGATGAGTTCAATTGACAAAATGGTCAGAGCTTCTGTAAGAGCCTAAGTTCACTGTTAGTAGATATTGACCTCTTCGGGCTTCCCTTCAAAATTTTAAAACGCGTCTACTAAGTAGAAGTTTCCACACTCTTATAAGCAATACTCCGTACCACTCTCCAACCGACGTGGGATCTCACAATTTCGAATATCACTGAAAAATAAATTAAGATTAGTTAGCCAGACGTTATTTATGTTCTTGATTCGTAAAATTTCCACTTGGCATGAACCTCCCGCGCAGAGTTTTGCCCAATCTTCTGTCGTGTTCTTAATTCAACCCGCATGATCTGAATTCGAACCAAATCGGTCTAGCTTTCGAAATCATAAGAATTTGGTCAGCAAAAAACGACATTGACAGTTGAGAATTTAGATCCCTCACACGACAACCTCGGCCAGAGGCAGCCGCCTCTTAGCCTCAAACAAAATCCTTTGACCCACGTGTCTTAATTTGCTTTTATATGGTCCTCCCATTTTTTATATTACCAACTTTGTAATATAATATTTTCGTCCATATCATAAAAACCTTCCTTTTTTACCCTTATAAAAAGGGTCTCTTAGCTTTCCTATTTTATCCACAAGCCCCTAAATCTCTCAATAATTCCCAAAAAAACCCATCTTTAATTCCAAATATGTCCCTTCATAACCATCTGTTTGGTTACCAAGAAAATTTTGAAAATTTTCCCGGAAAACAGAATTCCCATCTCTCATTTCACTTCAATTACTTGGAAGAGATGTTGTTTGCCGACATGTCGTTATCGTCGTCGTCGTCTGATTCGAGCCCTTGCTTGTCTCCGGAGATGCACGTTAAGGAGGAGATAGAAGACGGCGATATCATCGTGCAAGACGCTCAGACACAGAAGGAGGAGAGGGCTTATAGAGGGGTGCGGCGGAGGCCGTGGGGGAAGTACGCAGCCGAGATAAGAGACTCGACTCGACAAGGGGTGAGGGTTTGGTTGGGGACGTTTGATAGTGCGGAGGCTGCAGCATTGGCTTATGACCAAGCCGCATTTTGCATGAGAGGTGCATTAGCCACACTCAATTTTCCGGTGGAGGTTGTTCGAGAGTCGCTCTATGAAATGAAGTATCGATGGGAGGTCGGGTGCTCGCCTGTCTTAGCGCTCAAACGACGTCACACGATACGGAGGAAGAAGATGGCAGAAGCCGAGAAGATGGAGAAGAAGATGAAGAAGAAGAAAAATGTAGTTGTTTTTGAGGATTTGGGTGTTGAGTACTTAGAAGAACTATTAAGTTTGACTTCTTAATTCATGTTCCCTTTATTCTTTCCATCATTTTTTCGATTTGAACATATGTAAATTAGTTCGTGTATTAATAATAAACTTTTTTTTTTACCGATTAAATCAGTTCTTATAACAGCATTAATGCCGTTAATCTTTATACAAAAAAGTTAAAAAAAAATTACCAGCAATATATGAACAGAAACGTCAATCTACCTCTCTTAGATCACTTCTGAAAGTACAAAAGTATTTTTGAAACATGTTGTTTTATCGATGTTTTTTTTTTATTGTTTTATTTTTAAAATGTATTTTTTAAGTCTTTTAAAAATTTTAAGGATATTTTTTAAATTTTAAAAAAAAATTAAAGGTATTAACAAAAACTTTTTAAATTTTTTTTAATGGAATATTTTTTTAATAAATTATGGACAAGAATACATTTTTTTAAATTCCCATAGAATACGTTATTAGGTGCTCTGTTTTATTTTTCCATTGAGGCCGAACCTAAACCTGTGCTCAAGAGATGCTGTCCATATACTGATAAGGGATGTATGGATTCTCGAGAAGAGAGGAGTCGAGATGGACCTTTCCGGACCACCCGGAGAGGACCACCTCGACTCCCACGAGTGAATAGAAAGTTGGATCTACATTAAATCTCACCTGAATCGACTCATCTATCCTCCTGAGGAGAAGTTTGGTTTCAAACCCCGATTCAAACAGGAGAAGTACGTCATGCTAATGTTCGTTCAAGAGTATTTTTAAGATAAAATGCAAAATTTATAAATATTTTTATTAATCGAGCAAAATTAGGTTAAATACTTTTTTTTTAAAAACATAAAATTCACTAAATGTATTTTTTTTTTATATTCTACAAAATAAATATATATATATATATTGTCATGGCGCAAAAGCAGATATGGTTCGGTATTCCCTTGTTCCTTGTATTGGTTATGTTCTTTATTTCTCGTCTAGCAGAAACTAATCGAGCTCCGTTTGATCTCTCAGAAGCGGAAGCTAAATCAGTTGCAGGCTATAATGTAGAATATGCGCGGGATGCAATCTTTAATAGTCCACTGTTGGCGGAAGCCAATGTTCCAGGGTCACAGGGACTCATTCCGACTGAAACAAGGGGTGGGTCTTTTCCAACTTTCAAATATTCGCGATTTGAGGGAATATATATATATTTGTATACTCGGTCGTTAATTATAGTCATTATTGATCGGCTTCATTCTTCTAGACGCATATATATTTTTTAATTAATTCAATGATTATAATAAAAATAATAAGAATGTATAAAACCTCATTTTTATTATTGTTATTTGATGATTATAATAAGATATAATAATTATAACACATGTTACATTAATTGTTAGGGTTGTTATTATGGTCAACCTGAAAAAAGGGAAGAAAAAGAAAGTCAAAGAAACCAGATGGTGCAATGGATAAAACCAATGACCCATTTTTGGATGTTTGGAGTATAGTCCTCTTTGTCTACTATTCTTTTATTTTTATTTCAACATTAGTTGAATTTTCTTTTTTTTTTTGTTAGTTAATATAGTTGAATTTCAACATTAAACGAGTCGTGTAGTTTTAATAAATCTTAAAACGGATACTCGTAATTAGTTTATTGTTCGATACGTTCCGATTATGTTTTTTTTAATATGGGAATTATTATTATTTAATTGGTTTCGCAAAAAAATTAACTTTAGAGCAACAATTTTAAGATAAAGTATATATAAGGACTAAAATGAAATTAATTTTTTTATTTTAAAATATTTTATTTAAGTTTAAATTTTTTTATTATTTACCAATTTGAACATAGTTCGACTAGTTGGTGGTGAAAAAAAAAACTTATGAATACAAACCGAACGAATTTAAAAGTTTAGCGTTTGTTTCTTTTGAATTTGTTCAGAAAGTTTTTTATTTCTTAAATAAAATACACTTAAATTTGTTGCTAAAATAAAAAAAATTTATTTAGCTTAAATTTTGAAAATTTTGATAAAACTATAAAAAAAAATTAATAATTATTATAAAATGACCTAAAAAACCTCGATCAACCCAACTAGGTTACAGACCTTATTTGAGTTGGAATAAATGAAAACTTTATAAAATTGATTGGTTGGTGAGTTTCCTGGTGGAATTAACTTTTAAAATGTTCCATATATATATATATAATTTTAATTATTATTATTATTATTTTTGTTATTTATTATTCCTGGACTCTTAAAATATAATTTTTAATTATTTAAAGAGTAATTTTTAAAAATATATATTAAAATTGATGGGTAAATTTTAATAAAATGTTTAAAAATAAATAACTACTAACATTTTACTTATTTTTATACAAAATAAAAAACTGAATAAGAATAGGTAAAAAAGGTAAATAAATAAAGAAGCAATAAAGATTAATTTGTAATGTGTTTTATTCCAAAATAAATAAGATTTTGGAAGATTCCTGGTGTTCTTCAAAATTACCCCCAATTATCTTAGGGCTTCTTCTAGGTTTCCCGCGACAATATGGAAGCTGAAGGTAACCGTTACAATCCCCTTCGATTTTTTTCTCTTCTTCTCAATTTGAATTCTTCTGTTCTTCGAGCTCTTGGATTGTGGTAAATTATGCTTCAGGTCAAAACACTGCCACAAATCCGTCCGCAATGCTCGCCGGTCTTCTAACCAGGAAAGCAAAACTCCACGACGAACTTTGGACTATCGAGAAGCAGGTTTGTAGGATTTTTGTTTTCTGTTTACTATTTTATTTGGCTATCTACGTTTCTTGCTATTTGAAATCTTGTGTCGCTTGTTCTAAATTCAATGTCTCACTTTTGTTCTTGTATCTACGTTTTTGCATTTCCTTTAGAAAGAAAACGATTGCAGTTTGATACTAGTTATAGTTTGTACAGTGATATGTGGTTTTATGTGCTCAAGCATCAAACTAAGTGAAATGCAGTCTAATTTGATATGGAAATGAAAAACTTCGAAGAAAATGAGACTTTTTCTGTGGACCCTCTACCTAAAAGAAGTGCTAATGACAGAATTTAGAAGAAAATCTTTAACCACAACAAGTCGGAACTCTCTATAAGCATACAAGAACCCCTTACAGTAACAACTGATGAACAATGCAAAGACTAATTACCAAACAATTATATCATAACCCTCCAGATGGAGTTGACTACATTTATGAGAATAATATCTTTTACATGACTTTAAAGGTCTTAAAAAAAACGTTCTCCCAACGAGACAAAAAAATCGACTGTAACAAAGAACGAACTGGACCTGTCCAACTGGTTGATATAACGCAAGCAAATTGCAATCCTTATGAATTTCAATCGTTTCAAGAAAACACTCAGTGAGAAACCCATTGGATTAGTTCATCGCCCTCTCTATATCTTCTTCTCCAGTGAGTTACTGCTTTGTGTTCGCGTCTTACTTTTTTCTTTCTCTTTTATTATTGGTTGTTTGAGCTTGTGAATGTTAGTGTATTGTGTTCATCTGTATATCTTGCTGGATTGTTGTGATTCTCTCTTGCTAAATTACATTTATGGCCATTGAAGAACTGATTTCTTACTTTTCTGGTAAAAGTTGTGATGTGTACTTGATCCAGAGTTGAAAACTTCACTGAATTAGGACTAGTTTGTACTAGAATGCATGTGTTGGAAATGAATAAGAAATTTGTGTTGCCAAAGTAAAATGTGTGAAATATGAGAATAACTTGAAATTAAAAAGAAATTAACTTGACTTGGTTTAGAAGAAATGGAACCACATTGATGAACCAAAACGAACCAAACTATACCGAGTATGTGGTCAAGGGCAGAGTGAAGAAGGAAGGAGGGGGCTATTGAACTCCTCTTGGCTTGTTTTATATTAAAAGCAATGTTAAGAGGTTGAAATAATTTCTTTTTCTTTTTCTAATTTACCTCCATAATATTTCCAAATTTAAATATTACATATATAAGAAGCCAAAATGTAAAATTTTGTCCCTCGCTATGAAAATTTCTGGCTTTGCCCGTGTGGTTGTCAATTTATGCAAAAGATAAAAGCAACATCTGGTCATATTGATGACAATATTTGCCAATCGTCTTTTATACTTGTGAAACCATCTCCATCATGCTAGTTATGTGCCATCTTTATCTTTAGAGATGGTTTTTATAATGGGAAGGAAAGATTGATTGAAGTAAAGACAAGAAAGAAGTTAAACCTCTCAATATCATGATCTAGGAAACCCTTCAAAATTGGAAGTCAAAAGAGGTGGATGATTAAATTTCACACTATCAAGAATTATTTTCTTGGTAACACGAGAAGTTTTCATGTTGATGAGATAAAAGAAATGTCGATAACTTGGATACTTCTATTTATGCTCTCTCTCAAATGTTCAAAAGGTTGGTATGATCTAATAGTGAGGGGAAGTACAATTTTAATAATTTCTTATTTAAAAAGTGTAATTTTTATAATATCAGTTCTTGTTCTTCCTTTTCTTTTCCAGGAAACAAGCACCAGCAAGGACATCTCTCGTCATCATTGAAGTGTTTGTGAGTATAATTTGTGAGCAGTGGGTTGGATTGGTTTCTGCTTGATGAACCTTGTTTTTGTGCCTAAGCCTTGTGGCTTATTCATCTCACATTGCTACTCTACTCTTTTCGGGCGTGATCTTTATCCACCTCAGCGTCTCCTCCATATTCTTCAGCACGCCATCAATCAACAATCTCAGAAGTTCATCCGCGAATCTCATGCGCAGGTTATTACTCATGGGTTGGAACAAAATAATTTCTTGATAACTAAACTTATCTCTGCGTACTCAACTTGTGGTGACCTTAATGAGTCAACTCTCATATTTGACTTGGTTTCAACTAGGACTGTTTGCATATGGAACTCCTTGATTAATGGGTATGTTAAGAATTGTGTGTTCCATGGGGCATTTCATCGTTTTAATGAAATGCAGCAATGCGACGTAGTGCCGGATGACTTTACACTATCCACATTGGCAAAAGCATCCAGCGAGCTTAGGAATGTGACTGTTGGGAAATCGATTCATGGGAAGATTGTTCGACTTGGGTTCATATTTGACATTGTTGCTGCTAATTCCCTCATATCTATGTATTTCAAGTATGGGGAGTGCAAAGAATCCTTAAAGCTATTTGATGAAATGCCAGAAAGAAATTCTGGTTCATGGAATGTCCTGTTGGCTGGCTATGCAAGTTCTAATGATTGTTTCTATGTTAAAGAAGCGTGGGACATTGTTGTTAGAAGCATGCAGATAGATGGAGTAAAACCCGATGCGTTTACTATTTCGAGTCTTCTGCCTTTGTGTGGCAATCCCATTGGGAAATTGAATTATGGGAAAGAGCTCCATTGTTATATAGTGAAGAACGAATTGGATCTTGATTTTGGTTCAAATGTTCATCTAGGTTGCGGCTTGATTGACATGTACTCGAGGGACAATAAGATCACTGCTTCTAGGCATGTATTTGACCAAATCAAGCGTAGAAATATTTATGTTTGGACAGCAATGGTAAGAGGTTATGTACAAAATAAAGATCCAGATAAGGCATTGATTCTTTTCCAGGAAATGCAGATGAGAGATGGAATATTACCAAATAGAATATCCCTTATTAGTCTTCTCCCGGCTTGTAATTCACTTGCTGGATTAATGAATGGAAAACAAATCCATGGTTTTGCCATCAGAAAAGGATTCAATGATGATGCATCTTTGTGTAATGCTCTAATTGATATGTATTCAAAATGTGGTAGCTTGGAGAAGGCAAGAAAAGTGTTTGAATCTGATTCCTTTCGTAAAGATACAATCTCTTGGACTACATTAATTTCTGCTTATGGGTTACACGGACAGGGCAAGGAATCCATAAGGTTGTATAACGATATGATCAAGCTCGGTATCAAGCCAGATCAGATAGCTGTAGTCGGAGTTTTATCCGCTTGTAGTCGGTCTGGTTTAATAAAGGAAGGTCTCCAATTATACAGCACTGCAGTTCAGGACTATAGAGTCAAACCAACTGCCGAGATCTGTGCTGTTATAGTTGACATGTTGGGCAATATGGGCGAACTCGAACAAGCATTGAATTTTATCAAAACGATGCCAGTAGAACCCGGTCCCAGCGTCTGGGGAGCCCTTGTTTCTGCTTCAATAAGATACAAGGACTACAAGATGTTGGAATTGGCATACAGATCTCTTATTGAGTTAGAACCGGAAAATCCTTCTAATTTCATCTCACTGTCAAATTTGTATGCTTCTGCTAGCAGATGGGATCTGGTAGCTGAGCTTAGACACACCATGAAGGAAAGAGGTCTGAGGAAGTCTCCTGGTTGTAGTTGGATTAACATTAATACAAAGACCCATTGTTTTCATGTTGCTGATAAAGCACATCCAAGTTCCAAGTTGATTTATGAAGTTTTAGATCATATTTTCAGTACAATGAATGAACCTATTTCTGATGATTTAGAGTATTGGATCTAATCACTTGGGTATTTCCGGATCACCAGTATTCTTATTGTAGTTATAGATCCCATATTGGCATGGCTATTGAAATCATTTATTTCCCTCTATTCTAGCTTCAGATTTGGCTTAAGCGCTTTTGTGGGCTACGGGTGGAGGGCTATGAGATCATTCACTCAATCTCAGGAAAAGAACTCCGTAAGCCTTAGTTGGAAGCTAAACCAAAGCTAAGCTTGTAGGCCGTAGAGAGCCATTTTGCAGGTATACCCACGGATCTATGTTCTTGAACAGTCTCGAAGAAAGCCACTGCGGTAAGGGAAAGATTCATTTCGTAGGCTTGATATGATACATACAGTTCAGTTCTCTTCCAATCCTAATTTGAGGTCATAGTCGAAGTCTAAAATAGTCTCTTCATCTCTTCCTACTATAACTCATGATTAGAAATTTTATAAAGTTGTCACGTAAAAGTTTATTGTGACATAGAACCTTTTCGGGATCTTGAAAAGGGTGGTTGTCAACGTCGAGATTCCAAGCATATTGTGACATCTGCAACTCTGTATACTCAAACGTTCGCAAACTTCTTTGGAAGGTATGGTTGATTTACCATTTTAATTCTACCATGCATGTGTATCTTGGACGATAAAGCCTCTCATAACTAGTTCACAAAAATATTTGCAGGTTCCCAAGTTTCACATCTATGAGACGAGATCGAGGCAGCTAGTCGAACAGCTCATTGCAGCCCCAATAAAAGGGGTGCCCAAACTTTTGATAAATGAAAAATATTGTAAAAGTTCGTGAGAAAAAAAAAATAATTAGAGGATTATTAAATAGGATATTTTTCATTGTATTTTAAAATTTTATTAGTGTATAAAGGACTCGATTGAAATATTATTTTAAAAATGTTCAAGACAATTTTAGGTTAAATTATAAATTTGGTCTCTCTAATTTAAAATTTAACAAAATTTTGAATAATTATTTTTGTTATTAATATATATTTAAGATATGAATGCATTTTTTAATCCGAAAAAAAAAAAACAACTAAAATATTTAAAATTTTATAAATGATTATGTATTAAAATGTATTTTTTATGTGGTTTAAAAAAAGGAAAATGTTTTTATTTTTGAATTTAGAATTTAAAAAAAGGTAAATAAATAAAGAAGCAATAAAGATTAATTTGTAATGTATTTTATTCCCAAATAAATAAGATTTTGGTAGATTCTTCGTGTTCTTCAAAATTTCCCCCAATTATCTTAGGGCTTCTTCGAGGTTTCCCGCGACAATATGGAAGCTGAAGGTAACCGTTACATTCCTCTTCGATTTTTTCTCTTCTTCTCAATTTGAATTCGTCTGTTCTTCGCGCTCTTGATTATGGAAAATTATGTTTCAGGTCAAAAGACTGCCACAAATCCGTCCGCAATGCTCGCTGGTCTTCTAACCAGGAGAGCCAAACTCCACGACGAGCTTCGGACTATCGAGAAGCAGGTTTTTACGCTTTTTGTTTTCTGTTTACGATTTTATTTGCCTATCTATCTACGTTTCTACACTTATTACGTTTTTGTTATTTGAATTCTTGTGTCACTTGTTCTGAATTCACTGTCTGATTAGTGATTGTGAGTCAAACTATAGAAGTGTATTGAAGGCATTGATTTGGTCGTCATATCCGCATTTGATCTTTAGAGAAGTTGTAATTAAAAATTAACTTCTTGCGAGCTAAATGTTCCTGAAAAAATTGGTGATCTATTTCCATATCTCAGTGCGACAATGCACCACGGAATTCACTAATATGTATGGTGCTTAGAAGTAAGGATGGGCTAGACAAACGAAGACAAATTCCTTTTAGTAATGACTGGACCTAGAACTATAAATGCTTCAACAAATTCTAAACCTTTTTCTAATCCTTTCTCTTTCAGTATATTTATCTAATTTCTCAAATTAGATTGTGGTTCCAGAATTACACTGGTTTATGGTTTCTTTATTTATTGTGAATTTTGTAGATCAGTTATTTATTTCCTTGAGATGGAATGAGAATATTTTATTTTAGTTTTATTTATGAAATTTCTAGGCTTTAAGGATTTTTCGTTTATTGCATGTTTTATAGGCTGTCTTTGTCGCCATATCAGTGAGAGGAATTTCCTTTAGAAAGAAAAAGATTGCAGTTTGACACTAGTTGTAGTTAGAACAGTCAATGTTATGTGGTTTTATGTCCTCAAGCATCAAACTGTTACCTGAAATGCAGTCTAATTTGATATGGAAATGAAAAACTTTGAAGAAAGTGAGGCTTTTTCTGTGGACCCTCTACCTAAAAGAAGTGCTAATGGCAGAATTTAGAAGAAACTTCTTAAGAACAACAAATTGGAACTCTCTATTAAAGCTATAAGAACCACACAATTACAACATAACCCTCCAGCTGGGGTTGACTATATTATGAGAATAATATCTTTTACATGAATTTAATGATCGTTCTTGAAAGATTCATTGGCAAACCAATTACACTAAAGAGAAGTTTTTACTGCATTTACCCATAACAACCTAGCTTTATTTTTCAGCCTTACTCCCATTAGCAGCAGGAGAGTTCTACCTTTATCTTTTATCAAAAACCAAAGAATATTAAAGATTTTAAGAAACGTTCTCCCAACTTATTGCACCTGCAGAAAGTAATTTTTTTTTTTTTTTTAAAAAAAAAAATTGAACAAGAAACTGAAACTTTTTGTTGATATCATTATGTATAAAGTTACAATAAACTTAACCTTTTCTTTCATGGGTAGCTAAATTTTAATAGTTTACCCCATTAGCAAAAAACAGCAGTGTTGTATTCTTAATAAAAATTTAGGATAACTTCTTTGGCTTTTCTTCCATGTAATGTCAATACTTATATTCTGTAAAATATGCAGGTCTATGACATGGAGACTAATTACCTACAGGATCCAAGCCAATGTGGGAATGTATTGAAAGGTTTTGAAGGATTCCTGTCTGCATCTAAGAGTTCTGCTCTGTATGGAGTGTCTATAATATTATTTCTCAGCAAATTTCCTTTTAAGTTTCTTGATTCTTGCGTGTTCTTGTCTTCTTAACACACTGAGGTTTATGTTAATTGAATTTTCGTTTACTAATGGGATCTATGAAATTTTCTCTTTCCTATGAAAATATAATTTAGGGAAAAATTACACTTAGATCTTTGGGGGGTGGTGTTCGTTTAATGTTCAGTATTTTTACGAAGTTTTTTTTTTTTTTCCGTCTGTTTATCTTATTGTTAGGTCATATTTTGGGTACTTGAGTAAAGTTTCCAAATACTTGTGGATGCAGTTTGAAGCGGTCTAGGAAATTTCAGCTTGATGATAGGCTCTTCTCGTTGTCTTCAGTTACCTCCCCTGCTGTATGTACTTTGACTCAACCTGTGGTGGAATTGGAAATTTAGGTTTTTTCTGGTTATTCTGGTCGACTCTCTCACATGTACTGTTTTTCATTTAATGAGCAAAGAAGTTGAGATTCTCCTATGCTTATGTATCTTGCATTAGATACTACAATTAAATTCTTCCTACTTACAGGACAAAGAACTTCTCCTTGGTGCCATAGTTTTTCCCGAGAATACTTTTAGTTATGCTATACGAAAAATCATTTTTCATAGTTTTTCCTTGGGAGGGCAGTCCTAGAAAGTAAGGGTTTTGGAAGCTGATTATTGAGAAGGTGGATTGTAGTGAGAAAGGTAAGAAGATTAAGGTTGACTTTATGTAATGCTGCTGCTCTTGAGAGCCTTCCTGCTTATTTTATGTCTGTTTACCTTTTACCGAAGGAAGTGAGAGATAAAGGGAAAGAAAAATTTAAATTTTCCTTCAAGATGAAATATTGGGCGAAAGTTGAATAATTTAGCCTCGTTTGATAACCATTTGGTTTTTGAAATTAAGCTTATTAGTTCAGATTTTTCTTTTGTTATCCACTCTCTATCAATGTTTTCAAAAATCAAACCAAGTTTTGAGAACTAGGGTTTAGGGTGCTGTTCCAATACTAAGAGATGTTAAAATGCAGAGAAGAGCATGATATGGCATTGATGTTTCACTGCATACGCTATAGAATATACTTTGTTTTCCATCTGGAAAATGTAAAATTTGTTATCTTCTACTTTAGCCCTTTTCAGATTTCATATTTTCTTTTTTCTTTTCCCTTCAATTTTCAGGCTGAAGAGCTTGCAGCTGGACGAGATGGTGAGCGATATCAGTAAGAATAAATACTTCTATTTTCTGGAATTAAAATTTTACAGTCTTCTTTTGTGAACCATGTTGAAGATGGGAGATCCGACTTGGGTCCTGGCAGATCTAAAGGTGGAGGCATATATTCCAATGGACAGTTAGTATTCTTCCAATTGTTTCCTTCGTTTGATGATGTTGCTTTAAATTTCTAACTTGAACACCATTTAACAATAAACACCCTCATATCTGTAACCTGAACTATTTTACTTCATAACAATGAGCTTTGAAGGTTTTTTTTTTAATCTTCAGTTAGTTTATGTGAAAATTTATGCTTTGGATATGCAGAGGGAAACCAAAAAAGGGAAGACCGACCCCGAGGGATGCAAAGAGAATGCGACATTCAAGCGAGCAAGATTTCGACTATGACGATGATCCGGACTTGACATTGTGAATGCTGTAAATCGAGCCTCTGATGGTGTCTTTGTCATCATCTACAGAGGTGAAAGACGAGCTCTCCGACTCCTCTTGTTCACCAAGTAACCAACCCGTCCTCACCGAGGCCAACGGGGGCAGGTATAGCTATTTATATCTGTGTTTGGCCACACTTGTTAGATGCTTTTATATTATAAATGTGTGAATAGAGTTCAAGTCGATAACATGAAGTACTACTAAATGTTTGACGATTGGAACTATGCTGCTTTGCTTACGAAGGAGTATTGCTAAACAAAATTTTAAATTGTCCATTTGGTCCATTATTTGTTACTATTATGTTGCATGGTGACCTCCTCAGACTCCATGCTTCATTTTGGTGTTTTCTTGAGTTTTATCGATTCCCGTATTTGCTCTTTTGGTTTAAAATGGTAACATCCTATGCCTAAGATTTAGATCAAGATGCCTGATGACCCTCCACGTTCTTCTACACTCTCATGTCATGGTCACATTATTTAATGATTTTGACACTCTTCTATCCTCACGACATGACCACGATGACCTTAGTATGCTTATTTAATTTTTTTTTTTAAAGAGATTACCTGACATAGGATTACTTTAAGTTAAACACTGACCTTGTATGCTTATTTAATTTTTTTTTAAGAGATTACAGGATTGCTTTAAGTTAAACACGCCTCACTTTTTAGGGGATCACGGACCATAGGTATGTTAGGTGCTTAATTTAGATCACTTAACATAGGATTGCTCTAAATTAAGCCCACATCATTTTTAATTTTTAATAAAAGTAAAATTTTTAATAAAAGTAAAATTTTAGTTGGTATAATTCTATTTATTTATTTATATTTTGAATTTTTTTAAATAATTAAAATTTATTGTTAAAAATAGGTAGAGAAAAAATATTTCTAGAAATAAAATAAATATATGTATATATAATTGTACCGTAAAATGTATATTTTAAAATTAATAATATACTCGGATTGGTTCAGTTCAACTCATTTAGTTTAGGAATGTGTACAACTTAGAATAGATTAGGAAAATTCATTAAATTTCCATTTTTTTTATATTATATTAATTTCTTGTAGCTCAGGTAACTCTCCATCTTTCATAAAAACACCTCTCCAAAAATCCATGATATCAACTGTGTCTGAAGAAATTTCAACGTCTTTGGGTGATTGATCATCATTTTTTATCATATCACAATTGTTCGGAAAAATTTCTTCTTCCGAAAATAAATTCTCTAAGAAATCTTTTGCAAAAGCAAGCTCC